GCCCCCCTCGCCCCGCACTGGTTCTCCAGATAACCTTCCTCCTGTGTTTGAAGCCTACGTGGCCAAGCAATACGTTAAATAGGTACCCGTTGCTCCTGTTATCTCCGGTTTGTAGGGGTTCCACCACGCCATCGCTCAAAGTCCAAATCAGTAGCTATTGCCTAATCCCTCACCAAAGCCGGACCTTCGTCCACTTCCGGTCTTGCTGCGGGCTTACGCTTGCAGCAGTGTTTCTTTGATATCACCAGATATGCGGGATGCGTTCCGTGCATCGTGTCCAGAATAGAAAGCATAGGACAAGGGATGTAAGATGTGGCATGGCTTAACGCGGCAGTTCCGTCGGGACGCAGTGGTGCGCCACACGACACACACACACACACACACACACACACACACACACACACACACACACACACACACACACACACACACACACAGCCTGCTCGCCCCAGTGCACCGACGAATGCAGCTGTGCAGGAGCGTGCACCTGCGGTGACATTGCGCGCTCCACAGCAGCGGCAGCGCTTCAACCCAGCCATCTCCATGGTTGGCGAAGAAGAGGAGGAGGAAGAGGAGGAAGAGGTGGGAAGGGGACGGGGCGAGACAGGTTCCACCGGTGCAGTCTACAAAGGCATCACTGCCACGGAAGATGACAGTAACTACGATGCCTCCATTGTTGTGGATGCTACTGGGAAGATGCAGGTGCGTCTCAGTTACACGCACCCTGGCTCGATTGCCCGCGCCCTCTCGTCAGCGTCCTCTGCCACCGCAGAGACCCAGGACTTCTCCGCCCCGCCAGCGGACACCCTGCGCAGCCTCTTTCAAACCTTCGTAGGTGCTTTCTGTTTTGGTGACAGGGCTTTGTGTTCGTGCATGGACTCTGTCTGTGAGCGAGTGAGTTGTGATTGCGTACACCAGGTCTGTTTGCGTGTGTGTTTGCGTGTGTGTTTGCTTGTGTGTTTGCGTGTATGTGTGTGTGTGCCTTGTCCCCGTGTGCGTCCTACGTTCTGTGCAGCGTTCATCTTGCAGGTCTGCTGTGATTCATGTCACATTCATGTGTGTGTGTGTGTGTGTGTCGTGTGACGTGTGACGTGACGTCTGCCTACCTCCCGCTCACCCTCCCTCGCCCCTTCTGTCCTTCTGTTTGTTGGCCATTTCCGTCCACAGCGAACGGTGTCGCATTTCACCACTGCAGACCAAGACGTGCATGATCTCAAGCGCACTCTGCAGCGCCAGCTCACCACAGACGACATTGCACGGTAGTATACGACAATGCATGTTCAGTTGGCAACGTGTGTGTTTGCATGCGCGTGGGTGCGTGTGCGTGTGTTTTGTGTGTGCGTGTGCGTGTGTTTTGTGCGTGCCTTACGTGAGCTTCCACCTTTTGCTCCTTTACACACACACATCTTCACATCCTCACACGCACGCACGCACATGCACACACACACACATACACACATACACACACATAAACGCACACGCGGGCCCCGCCACAGGCCGGAGCGCCTGGAGAACAACACGGACCGCTTTCGGTGGACGGACAACGAGCAGCAGCCGCTCAGCATCACCGTCTGTGTCAACGACCAATCCGCCATGTTCACCGTACCAGCCACTGCCACCGTACGTGTGTGTGTGCGCGCGTGTGTATGTATGTGTGCATATGTGCGTGTGTGTGTGTGTGCACATGCAACTGTGCGAACAATCCATGTGCTGAGCTGCCACAACACAAACCCCTGCCTCCGTCACCTCACATGACTGCTGTGTTGTCTGATTTGCTTGCCTGCACGCAATACACCCCCACCCAGTTTGCGACGGTTGCTGCAGAGGTGCAATCCCACATGGGCGTGGATGTGCACGCGGACACGCACGTGTTCAAGCTTGCGGCTGCGGCGGAGACGTTTGACCTCAACAGCACCATGCAGCTGTGCGATGTTGGTGCATTTGCCGTTGTTCTCAACAACGTCGCCCTCGGACCAGACAAGCAGGGCATCCCCATCGTTCTTCGCGTCATCACCAAGGAGTGCGTCACGCCATCGCATGCACCATGTTGTTGATGTTGTTGCCCACGCACGTGTGTTCGTTTATGTATGTGTGTTTGTGTGTGCGTGTTTGTGTGTGCAGGTTCATGTGCATATGTGT